GTAGATCTATACTTTTAAGAGTTTCCACCACATAATGTGAAAATGACAATTGCATAATGCAATATATACACATTTATGTACACGGCAAAATTAGATAGAGAAAAGGATGCATGCTGTAGGGGAAGAGGTTACATAATGTGCTTAAGGAGCACTTAATTTTTATAAAATTTACATTTATAGTAATTTAACTTTTTTTATAGATTTTTGTTTATTTTTAGAGAGAAGGGAAGGGAAGGAAAAAGAGAGGGAAACATCAATTTGTGGTTGCCTCTCGCATGCCTCCTATTGGGGACCGGGCTAATTTAACTTTTTAAATAAGCAGGTATTACTCTATTACCAAATGAGTAAATACAAAGCAGAAACCATTAAATATAATAAGTCCATATCTGCTGCAGAAAAACAATACAGCCCTAACTGGTGTGGCTCAGTAGGTTGAGTTCTGGACTGCAAACCAAAAGGCGGCCAGTTCGATTCCCAGTCAAGGCACATGCCTGAGTTGGAGGCCAGTACCCAACTGGGGGCATGCCAGAGGCAACCAGTCAATGTTTCTCTCCCTTCTCCCTCCCTTCCTCGCTCTCTAAATAAATAAATAAATAAATAAATAAATAAATAAATAAATCTTAAGACAGTACAATTCACAAAGACAAAAACAAACATTACAAACATTGCAAACATTGTCCTGGCTGATGCAGCACAGCAGATTGAGCACCGGCCTACAAACCAAAATGTTGCCAGTTCGATTCCCCATCAGGGCACATGCCTGTGTGCAAGAGGCAACCGACTGATGTTTCTCTCCCTCTCTTTCTCCCTCCCTTCTCCTCTCTCTGAAAATAAATAAACTCTTCAATAAAAAAAAACACTTAACATGGATAAAACTGAATTTTAAAGCTACTGCTAGTTTTAATAAAGGAAAATCTTACATAAACAATTTTTAAAGGCTAGGTGACACAGAATGAAAGAGGGAGAGGTAATTAAAGATGACTAATATATAATGTGATTTTACAACTACGATGATGAACAATCATCCTCTGATTCTAAACACTTCATGGGGGGAGTGAATCCTGAATAGAAAGTTACTGATTGGAACCTCTAGATTCCACTCCTCCATTTAAAAATAGGAATTAGAACATCATAGAATATGCCTCAGAGCACACAATAGCAGATTTTCATCGCTCCTAAATTCATGGATCTTTGAAGAATATTATACATATGAGACTAATAAATTATCGATTAGTTACATTTGAGAGCTTAATAAATTATATACATTAATGAAATTAACGGAACTGAAATAACACTTAGGAGATCTGGGACAGGTCATGCCTCGCCCATCCCCGTAAAAGGAATTATTCACTGATCTCTTTTATTTTTTTTTAATCCTCATCCGAGGATATGTTTACTGATTTTAGAGAAAAAGAGAGAAACATCAATGTGAAAAACATCGATCAGCTGCCTCCCACACACGCCCCAGCCTGGGATTGAACCTGCAACAGGTGCCCTGACCACAACTTTGGTGTGCGGGACGCCACTCCCACTAACTGAGCCAGCGGGCCAGGGCTCATTAACATCATAAGTCTTTTAATGCTTCAAAAGACTACACAAACTCTTACTCCCAACCAACTTGGACATGTTCCAAAAGAATTATATGTTTCAGCCTTAGCTGGTGTGGCTCGGTGGACTGAGCGTGGGCCTGCAAACCGAAAGGTCACTGGTTTGATTCCCAGTCAGAGCACGTGCCTGGGTTGTAGGCCAGGATCCCAGGCGTGAGAGAGGCAACCACACATTGATGTTTCTCTCCCTCTCGTTCTCCCTCCCGTCCCCCTGTCTGAAAATAAATAAATCAGATCTTTAAAAATAAATAAGTAAATAAAATGAATTATATATTTCAGTTACCCATCCATCAATCAATTTATCTATCAATCTATCATCAGTGTTTCCCTTTATTTTATTCTTTACATCATTTTTACTTGTACCTGATCTAAGCACTGGCCCTTCTTTTTGTTTGTTTTTAAGATTTTATTTATTTACTTTTACAGGGGAAGGAGGGAAGAAGGAGAAACATCAATGTGTGGTTGTCTCTTTCGCACCCCCTATGGGGAACCTGGCCCACAATCCAAGCAAGTGTCCTGATTGGGAATCGAACCAACGACCCCGTGCTTCACGGGCCGGCACTCAATCCACTGAGCCACACCAGCCAGGGCTGGCCCTTCTGTCTCACGTTCACTAGCCCAACAGCATGGCATCTAATCCCTTAGCTCAGAATGAGGTCTTAAATTATCCAAACCTTTGTAAAATATTGGATTTTGTAAAACATTTCATAGGCTGGTAAAACTAATCAAAGACTTGTCTATTATGATTTGCCATATAAAATACCAAATCCATCTCTATGTAAGATGTTTATTATTTGGAGGAATAAGGAAGTAGACCATTTCCTAGGCTTATTTAAGGTATTTAATTGCATGAAACAGTCAGATAAGAGACCTGCAACACATATACATAAGGGAGATCCCATTAAGGTCCAAAATTATTTGGAACATTTGTGTTCTAAAATCTCATGGCAGGGACAGGTCCCTGTGAGGAGAAGTTGCCTGGCAACTGGAATTCTTATTTACCAATAGGTAATTTAATACAAGGCCTTCTAAGTTATGCACTGTGTAATCCACTATGTTGTTTGTTCTTATTGGTTACAAAATTCTAAGGACAGTAAGGGTAGGTGGCTACTAAAACAGTAACAAATTAATAGGAAAAAGTAGAATACGAAGATATACTTAAATGACTCACTCTCTCCCCTATTTTCTCCCAGCAACCCCATCCACCAAAAGGGAAAAAAAAAAGATTATTTTAAGCAAACACATTTTTTCCTCTCCACCAAGCGTCAGAAGAAATTCAACCACCCTCCAGTTCTGAAAGCCACAAAGAGAAATAAAAACATTATGACTTTAACGAAGAGAGTCTGAAGAACTATGCAGCAAGAGCATCTGAGTATAAAAGAGAGTTCCATGAAAAGGAAAGGCAGAACAGAACAGGAACCGTCTGTGGAGAGGAGGGGCGCCAGTGTAACAGCTCACTCAGTGTATAAAGTGCTTAGACAGAAACACTAGGGGGGAAAAAAGCCAATTCCTAAGGAAAGTTTCTTCCAAACCAAGGCAGCTTCTAGAACACATTTAATCAACATAAGCCAGGCCTGAGCGCTACCCCTCTCTCCCCCCACTGCAGAGAAACATTTCATTCAATGAATATTCCAGGAGGCACTGAAATTCAATACTAAATTATAAAATGCTGCAATTTTAAATTTTTAATAATCAAAAAATGATAGCCTGAATAGCTTGGAAATCTGTTTACTGAAATGATATAAAGAAACCAGCAACTGTTTTTTTAAAAAATTGTTTATTCTTGCTTAGCCAGCACTGATTCCTCCCCCACCCTTCCCCTTGGTCATTTGCTGCCATAAACTTCTATGCAGAAGAAGCCCACTGGGCTGGCCGAGCACCTTGATTACCCACAGTAGAGGAGCAGGGACAAAAACCAGCAATAGGAGTCACTTCAGATCACCCTGCACTCAGAACTTTCTCCCATGTACTGAACTTTGTAAGGCTGGTGCTGACCAACAGAAAAATAAGACGTCAAGAATTTTGCTAACAAGTGCTCTGCTGTGTTACAAAGTTTTTCTACTATGGGAAGACACACTTGTGACACAGCAGCTTCTTTTTAAAAATTCCACCCTGGCTGGTGTGGTTCAGTGGACTGAGCGCCAGCCTGCGAACCAAATGGCCACCAGTTCGATTCCCAGTTAGGGCACATGCCTGGGCTGTGGGCCAGGTCCCCAGTGTGGGGCATGTGGGAGGCAGCCACACATTGGCGTTTCTCTCCCTCACTTTCTCCCTCCCTTCCTCTATCTCTAAAAATAAATAAAATCTTTTAAAAAATTAAAATTAAAAAACTAAAAAAAAATTTAAAATCCACACAAATGTATGGGGGATGGAGGCTGGGTGAAAAGGGGCAAAGGGGAGGAAAATAGGGGATGTTTGTAATGTTGTCAATAATAAAAAAAGACAAATACATATTTTACATATTTAAATATAACATAGTCATTATTTCTTCCTCAATTAGGACACATATGTGGGGAAAAACTCAACTGTCTAAAACAATGATGGATTCAAATGTCTTTATGAGCTGGCTTTTTTGGTTATTGTTGTTACTCTTAATTAAAATTAAATACTAATGCTCTCTCTATACAGTTTTCTCCAGAGAGAATAATGCTTACCATCCCAAAGAAAAGAAAACAGAGAATTACTGACCGGTATGGGTTAAGACAATGTTCATTAAATGGGACCTCTTTCAAAGAGGCTTCCCTCTAATATACCAAATGGGAGTTTGGTAAACAAGAGTGTCCTTTAATAAACAAAAAGAAAATCACATCCATATTACCTAAACAATTCTCACCATGAAAATATAACTTGAAATTAAAATCCTACTTTTAGGAATGCAGAGCTCGGGAAGGCCGGTGAGTCTAAAGGCTCTCTTAGAGCAACTCCAAAAATTGCTCTTTAAGCGGAATTAGCACAAAAATCCACCGAGGCTGGTTTTAGAATGCTGGCACCCAACAATAAACAAGAGATTTAGTAACGGTTTAAAGTAAACTTCATCAGTCCACTGTTTTTGCTGCACCAGTAATTTCTGCACAGCTCCCTGCACAGGAACTTCAGAAGAATATGGCAACACATTCTTTCCATGAACACACGATTACACACCTACTACACTGCTGAGCACTGTCCCACAAGCTAGATACACAGAAAAATTAGCAATTTAAGGACTTATCCTGGCTTATCATCAAATCCCTGGTCAACTCTGAATACCGGTTTTTAACATTCATGGGAATATCTGGATTCCGAAGTAGTCATTTATAATCAGTCATAATAGAGTTTTTTGGTAGCCACGCACCACCCCCGCCAAGTGTTAATTCAATCATTTCTTTCTTTCTTTTTTTCATTTTTTATTTTTACCTTCATTAGCCTCTGGCCTTGAATTCTTAATATATGCAGAGAATTTGGCAAAGATGTCCATCCCAGCAGTATTTGATTCTGGGTGTTTTGGGGACAGCTTTAAGTACCTAAATGAAAAAAGTGAAGATAGATTATAGATCCTCCAAAGATACATGAGCATAAATTCCCTCAATCAATAAACCATTGTGCTAGTAATTACTAGACATCTTTTAACAGTTATTAATCTAGAAAATGCCATCATCTGTTTTCGATGATATTTTTAAGATGTGCTTTTTCCTTTGGAAACAAAGCCCGGCCCAGTTTTTGTTCCCATGTTAATATTCTTGGCAACCAGAAGACATCTGCACTCCACCTCCATTGCATAAACCAGAACGCTGGGGAGACCGGCTGCGCGTCCGGAGACTGGGGCCAGGCCAACGGGCGTCTGAGGAGGAGGGCCCTAGCGCAGCACTCAGAGAACTCTCTGTGATGACGGAAACATTTTCCATCTGCACTGTCCAGTACAGTAGACCTTTCGTGATGTGTGGCTATTTGACTATGAATTTAAAGTAATGACAATTAAATCAAGTTAAACGTTCGCTCTCTCAGCTGCACTGGCCACCTTTCAACTGTAGAGCCTTCTTAAACAGGAGCGCTCCCCAGGCACTGGCTGTGCCCGCCCTGCACCCGCCCCGTGCGCGGGACCAGAGAGCTCTGCCAGCAGGAAAAGTCTAGGCCGGCCGGCGGCGTGTTCACCCACAGCAGGTTAAGGACAAAAACAGCATGAGACAGATCACTCACACACTTCGGACCACCCTACACTCGGGATTTTCCAGAACCTGCCATACACTACATTTTGTAAGAGTGGCATGGAGCAATAGAAAACTAAGATGTCTGGAATGTGGCTGACAAGCGCTCCGTTGTGTTGTTACCAAGTTTTCCTGCTTTGAGAAGTCATTAGTGACACAACAGCTGTAACACACACACACACACACACACACACGCATGTTTTACATATTTCCATTTCAAACACACACACCCATAGATTTCTTCCTCAAATTGGAAAATACACGTGGAAAAAGCTTAGCGCCTCACTCTTTCCTCTTGCACCAGCTCCCGGGACTCACGGCCAAAGGAACTCGGACTGGTCGAACCACTTCAGGGAGGACTCATCAGCTGAAAGGCCCTACCCAAATTTTGCTGGAAAACGGGCTTGGGGCAGTGAGACTTTAAAAAATATCTTACATTGAACTAGTCATTTAGATTTATTTATATATTTTAAGGTGCCGTCTTACCACTTTTCTTTAAATTAAAAATGAAGATGAGGTATTTATAGATAGAAATTTAGTTCAGTTGTAAGGTCCAGTTTCAGGTTAGTTTTATAATCATTTTCTTTTTTTCCCCCATATTTTACTATTTTGAATTCAAGAACAGCTATACCTTCTAAAAACTGGACACAGAACTGTGTGGGCAGGAAGAATATAAAATATCTATTGAACACCTATATGTTCAAGTTATCTTTCTTTTTAATATCTCTCAATTTTTAAGCTTAAAATTTTCTCTTATAAACAAAATTATTTGAGTTTTCCAGTGAACAATTACAGTAAATGAGTTTCACCTGAGTTTATGTGTTATGTATGTGTACTCTCCCTCCTATCTACTGAAAACTACCTCCACACACCTCTCTTCCTTCCTGCCTGAGCTGCAACAGTTAATCCCCGTTCCAACAACCCTGGATTTCCCTTGACTATAAAAACAACCGACCTCCAATTTAAATGTTTTCACCGCGGGTAATACAGTACCTGCATTGATTCCTTCCAACGAGAAAACAGTGCAAGGAGCGTAAGTGCCCCTTCAGTACGTCTGTGTCCTTCTCTAGCCAAGTCTCCAAAATTAGCCTTCTTACCCCAACCAGTATTTGGTTGTACCAACTTTTTCTAATGAGGTAAACTTTGTAAGTCTCAAAATAACTTACAGGAAGGCAGGCTTGAATTACAGATCATTTGTATGTTCAGTATTCACACATATATTCTTTTATTCTAATTGTTAAGTATCCGTTGTGTGTCAGGCCTTGCACCGTTGGGGACGTAATGACGAGCACGCAGAGGCACAGTTACTGGAGACTATTTAATGAGCAGGTAAGAGTGAAGGCCTGTCAGTCAGCATATCCTCATTCATATGAAAATAAATGCCATTAAAAATTTTTAAAAGCACTGTTCTTAAAAGCAGCTAAATGTGCCCTGTTCCTCCCTTCCAAGACAAACCATTAAACTTGTATTGTGAATTTAATGCATACAATACTTTAACACCTCAATTTCTCATTTTGCCTAAAAGGAACTTATAGTCCAGAAAATTTACACATTGGCCCCAAAGTCACTAGATTTGTTAAAAATATTGCCAAACTAAAATCCAGATTTCCCGTCCCCAGATGCAGTTTTTTGTCGCTGTCATCGTTGTCTGTTTTATAAATCAGGTTCTCTCTAAAATATAAATCCAATTCTGAACGAGAAATTCCTAATTTAGTTGCCAACTTTTTTTGCATCCCCTCAACACTGGATTTTAGTAATTCATCCATTATCATTCGTTTTAGCAGACAGCTTGATAAAGCCATAATTTTCAATTATTGTGAATATTCACTTTAACATTTAACAAAAGAAAGGTAAATAGTTAATAAAAGGCCATGTGTCAACAGCAGGACATGAGCAGCCAGGGCACTGAGGCTTCAGATCAGCCCTTTCCTCGGCATTACATTGCAGACTATTAACGGTGGACTAGCTAATAGTATGTCCATCCTTTTAGGAAAGATCTCAAATACTTTTCCTTCCTCATACTAACATAAAATAAAGTCTGGTTATATAGCATACTAAATTACCCTTGTAAATTCAATTTTCATTGTCAGTATTTTTCATTTTTATAAAAGGCTTAATAACACTTTGGAGTAGAGAGCTCTTCTCCAAAATTATCTAGCTTTCTCCATCCTTCTATCCTTTCTCCAGTAAGTTAGCAAAGTATATAGGCCTACTTCAGTTAAAAATCCAGTTTCAAAGCTTTTTTGGGGGGTGGGGGGGGCATGGAGGAGGCAAAGTACTTCATTCAAGCAATGGGAACTAGAAATAAAAATAAGAGTAAAAAACCCCCATAAACACAGAAGAAAGAGAAAGTTTCTCCTTAAAACCTACAGTTACCTTACCCAGCAACACTTGCTCATTTAAGCTTTTCTTTAGTCTCTGAATTCAAAACAACTCTAGAACAGACAGTTGCCTGTATTTATATTTGTCACAATGAAACCGTAAGTGCTCACACAAAAACAGTCTGCTCGCAGTATCATCAAACGCCAGAAACATGCTGTTAGAAATGCTAGGTTCCTGTACAACAACTCCGCCTTTTCTCCTCACCCTGTCTGGAAACACGAAGGCTTGCGATAGGAGAGTGAGGAAGATCAGACGCGGTTAAGGACCTGGAGACCCACTTGTCCTAGAGAGAAAAGGCGGTGGGCCAGGAGGGTCCCCGAGTGCCACAGAACAATAAAGGAAAGGGAAGGGGATGCCCGTGACAGTCCCAGGCACATCTCTGCCCCACCCTCCCCGTGCCCGCTCTAGACGCAGTTCTGCTCGACACAGGCCACACTGTCTGATGAGCACGTCGCGCTGGGGGCTGCAGAGCCCACTGAGGAAACAGCACACCCAACCCAAACTGGCTGTTGCAATGCGTATAAACAAAAACTCACCGTAGTTAAACCTCACCTACTTTTCAAAAAGGATTTACTTTGACAACCACCTTCAGCCCAACTCACTCATGAAGTAAATTGTCTTGGACTTCTCTTCTGCCCTTCCTCCACGCTTGAGCTAGCCTTTAATTTGGTCCTCTCTAGAGCGGGGGCCGGTACTGGTCTGTGGCCTGCTAGGACCCGGGCAGAACAGCAGGAGGTGAGTGGCTGAGCTCCGCCTCTGGTCCGCCACCCACCCCGGCAGTCCCTAGAAAAATTGTCCACAAAATTGGTCCCTGATGGCAAAAAAGTTGGGCACCACTTTTCTGAAGCACAATCCCAATTAAAGACACATTTTACCTCTTTTATAAAAGTCAAACTCAGCTAAATGAGACACAGAAAGAAGACAATAGGAGAAACAGGTTTTTGAAAAAAACCTGGCATAGACCTGGCTTTGAACGTATGTCAGCTCTGCCACCACTAACCCTGGACAAATTATTTGGACTGCTCATCTTCAGTTTCTTCACAGAGTCCTTGCCACAGAATAATCCGCAATGTACAGGACGTGGCACGTAATTAGCTCTTAAATGTCAATAACAGCGAAGGCATTAGCAACATCAAAAAGACTGCCTTCTAAATTAATGAATTATAAAACTATTTAGAAGCTCTCTTTAGATTACAACACCTAACATAAAAACAAAGAAATTACCCTTAGAGAGAATTTAGCACGCTGTGAACCCTTTATATCAGAAAGATCTGCAAGTTTTAAATTATTTAAACGGAAAGAAAAGACCATCTTCAGTTAAAGTCTCTCTTATGAATACGCCCAAAGAAAATGGGGCTGAAATTTCTCTGTACAAAAAGCAAAGTGAAAATGTCCACTTTCAAAGTCCAATTCGAAAAGCTATCATGCCTTACAGAGGACTGGGTGTCAGGGCACCAGAGTAGGCTGACCTCAGCTATATTTATCTTAATATTTAGTCCCTCTGAGAAAAATAACGAGAAGGAATAATAAAAAGTATTTTTGTTGTTGTCATCGAAGGAGGCAAGAAGATAATGAGAAACTATCCATTTGAATGAAATGGTGTTATCAGCACTGATTTCAAAAACATAACTGTCTGGAAAGAATTTACACCTTCGACACCTCAGACAATGGTGCTTTAAAACAAAATACAGTTTTCTTCATAGAGACTGGCAAGTCATTCCCACTGTTTCTCTGCTTATACGTTAATGCTGACACCGTGGTCTACAGTTACACGAGAGGAATATCACTTTCATTACTGTCCGAGGACAAGATGGCAGATGCGGAACTTTCCTCGGAGCTGACAGCCTTTGAAGAATAAAAAGGGATCTAGTGGGGTCCTGACACAGGAATCTTCCAGAAGTTACTGCTACTAAGTTGAATACGTATTCGTAACAGCTCCTTGCCGATGTGTGTAAACCTTCCGTTTATGTTTACCAAGATCCCAGTTCTGATTTACTGTTACTCTACTTATACACAAGGCCCCGAGGAGCAGTCGAGACATGGCGTTACTAGTGTGGGTCTGCAGAAGCAGTCCGGGGGACGGAAGGAAGGCGTGGACTCCTGGTGAGGAGGGATAAAAGAAGTTTAAGACTCCTAGGAAGACAGGAAGGAAGACAGAGGATAGCTTTTATAATACAGGATTAGGAAAATGAAAGGTTAAGCTTAGTACAGGATTGCTAAACAGTGGGCAATTCTGTCCACGATACAAAATGGGATGCTTGTAGACAGAGGTCCACCTCCAGGCGTACCTGCAGGTGCCCGAAAGAAACACTATTGATTCAAAATGATTCTATGCTCGAAATGATGGTTATTCCTTCGCTCACATGCCAAATGCCACTTTTTAAAGTTTAATTCAGGTATCATCTCTCCTCTAAAGCCTTTCCCAATTCCACTCGCTTTCCCACACAACCACCACCCACACCTGACTGTGCTGCAGGAAGTGTGTCTCATTCACGGCTTTGTTGCCCAATTACGATTTGCCAAATGAATGAATGAGTGAATGAATGAATACTGGGTAATTATTTTAAGACACTCTGACCCAATAATCCCATTCCTGGGAAATTTACCTCCACATGGAGATAAGCGACGTTAACTAGCAAGAAAGGCTTGGGCCAGAAGGAAGAAAAAAAAAATCAGTTTTCAGGATAATGAAATTGGAAAATTCCAAAAGAAATCAATAATGCTTTAAACCTATGCTAAGATTACAGTACGATGCAAAACCGCATATGTGCAATACAGGTAATTTTCATGTAAGTTCATCTAATCCTCAACTGCACCTTACATCATAGGCTATAGTGCTTTAGCACTGGTAACCACGTAGGGCCTGGGGCTCTAAAGAAACATGTAAAGAGAGAATGATTCCCAGGGACATAGTCTGAAAGTCAATTCCCTAGGGTGGCAGCCTCAGAATGTTACCTTTAAAATGACCTGATAGGATTAAGAAGTACAAATAGGTAGTTACAGAATAGTCACAGGGATGTAGAGTATAGGAACAGGGATGTAGAGTATAGGAAATGGCGTAGCCAAAGAACTTATACACATGACCCATGGACTTGAACACTGGTGTGGGATTGCCTGAGGGAGTGGAGGGTGCTGGGTGGAGGGGGACAAAGGAGGAAAATTGGGATAACTGTAGTAGCATAAACAATAAAATATAATTCAAAAATAAATGAAATGACCTGATAGAAAATCCCCCAGCAATCTGCGACCACACCTACTTAGACATTCTGGCCAGGTTCGAGTTGAACTTGTCCTTCCCCACCTCTCCTCCTCCCCAGACTTCTCTCTCAGTTCGGAGCCTACACCCCTCAGACGGCCAGCCCCTCCTGGCCTGCCGCACCACCCCGAACCTCCTTTCACCGTGTGCTCTGCCGCTCCGTCGGGTGCCTGCCTTTCCTAGCGCGGCTGTCGGCCTGGCCAGAAGCCACTTTTGACATCTGTGGAGCAACAGTTGTAATAAATGAAGAGAAGTCCCAGTCATTCCAACTTAACACTGTGAGAATTTAACTCAAGTACCGTCAGGAGAAAGGCCTCTAAGGGAGAGATAAGACAAAGCTTTAAAGAGATGGCTATGTTTCCATGCGTATTTTCTCTGATACTCACTTGGGGGGGCATAAGACTTCTTCAAGAAATTCTTCAATCTTATTTACATCCGTTTTGACTTCATTGTTGAAAGTTATAAATGGAGGGTGGGTCCCGGGAGCCAAGTTCTGCAGGTCAACAGGCTTCCTGTCAGGCAAAACACAGCGGTCAAACTGGGATCATTTTCTCACTCTAACTGAGAAGGCGACAATACCTGTAGTTCTCAGAGTGGTTCTGAATTTTAAAGTACGTAAAAATGAATAATAGTATTTTTTCCACTAAGTGTAACAGTTGCAGTAGTCCTCTGATAAGAAGCAAACCTCCACAAAGCACATCATTTGTAAGAAAATTAGAAGTCTTTCTTTTAACCAAAAAAAAAACAAAGCCCTTCATTCTCATTCCAAGTTTAACTGAGGTGCTTACTAGAAATAGTCACAGAGTGAAGGGGGAAAAACCTGAGAACTGGGAAAGTCAGCCTCTAGTCTCAGCTGGGTGCTGACCGGTTGCGTGAGAGCGGGTAAACCCTGATTTACCTAGGCCAACCGTGTGTGTGTGTGTGTGTGTGTGTGTGTGTGTGTGTGAAATAAGGAACAAGGGCAGCTGATCCCCACAGTCCTTTTCAACCTCCAAATTCAGATGCTACCTCTTCACCATTTTCCTGGAAGTCTAGACCTAACAAGGAGAAAGATCACCAGATTTGACTACCTAAAATTGAAATTACTTCAGTCCCTATAAGACAGCATAACCAAAGGTAAGAGATAAATAGAATGGAAAAAATATTATAGTGAATAAGAAAGGCTTTAAATATGTATTAAAGATTTTGTCCAAATCCACTTAGTCATCAAGAAATCAAATAAATATGGGTCAAAAGAAATTGGTAAGCAATAGATAAAATAAATGAACACATGGAAAAATATCAAAAGACTCAATTACCAAATTCAAAACTAAACAATGAATATTCTTTCTATAAGTTAGGAAAAATTGAAAATACATAGAACACTGATGAAGATGGTAAAACCAGTAAGCAAACAACCACTAATAGCAAGGAACATTGGTACCACCCTACTAAAAAGCAAAATGGCTCACCTAAGTCCACCAATGAATCCTGGAATCTACATGACCAGATAGGGTGCGCACCTTAATGATGCAGAATGTGAACCTGAACCTTAATCTAGAATCACACCTGTTTGGGCAGCTGTCTCTCCAAGTGTGGTCTAGGCTAGGGGGCCCTTCCTCGGGGAAAACCAATGAGGTAAAAACATTCTCATTCTACTGCACCAGGTTTCCTATAGTGGAGTTTTCTATGGCCTACTTTGGTGTGTGATATCACGAGGCACAGTATATACAGGTGCAGGTATGAAAATAAGTATCTTCTATTAAGGCAGGAAGACATGCAAAATGTAAAAAAAAACGCCACTCTTCTCACTAATTTTTAGAAAATATAATTTTATTATTGATTTAAATTTTATATTAAAATTATGTTTTGCAGTAACAAATAATGCATTAAGAAAAAGATAAAAACCATGAACATGAAAATGATAACAAACTCACAACTATCAACAAATGAATCTAAAAAATAAAAACTGAAACAAAAACAAACTAAGCAAACAACCAGAACAGGAACAGAATCATAGGTATGGAGATCACATGGAGGGTTATCAGCTGGGCGGGGGGGGGGGGGGAAGGGGGTAAGAGGGGGAAATGGTGCAGGGTTCAAGAAGCATAACTGGTAGGAATGAAACAGACAGGGGGAATGTTAAGAATAGTGTAGAAAAGGCAGAAGCCAAAGAACTTACATGCACAACCCATGGACATGAACTAACAGTGGCAGTGGGGGGGAGGGGGGACTGCTGGAGGGAAGGGGGTACCAGGCAGAGGGGAGCAAAGGGAAAGAAACTGGGACAACTGTAACAGCATAATCAACAAAATATACTTTAAAAAAATAAGCATTCATAACTGTTCTGTTTAAATGAATTAGTAAATAAGTTATTTTTTAAAATCTGTTTTAATTTCTTTGTTTTTTAAATACATTTTACTTCCCTCCTTATGACAAATGCACAGAATGTGAATAAAATAAGGGCTATCTGTAAGTGTACCATGAAGGTGAAATATGTTGTCATTAAAAATAACTTAAAATAGAGGGCGCCCTAAAACCTATGCTCCGCCCACCTTACCAATTTCCTTTGGTCTTACTCTTCATTCTTTCCATTTCACTTTTCCTCCCCATTCCCCACCGCTCCCCATCCCTGTCTCTCAACTTAGATTTAGAAAGTGCCTCGTCTCTGTTACATTCTAATCAATGATTACAAAGACATGTAATCTATTAGTCCAAATTTTCTAACCCAGGGCCTCCCTTTACCCAAATTCTAGAGCCTATCTCCCTCCTAGGGCAAAGCAAAGTAAGTCCATGTTTTCTATGAACTTCTGTAAGAACCTAAGCTCCAGAAAGGACTTTTAAAAGTCAAAATCTGATTTGATTTTCAACTCTGGTTCTTTTTCTGAGCATTCTTTAGTCTGACACGGTAAGAAGTCAGCACACAATGGTCGGGGTGTGTGAAACCTGGGCAAGTCTTCCAGACGCTCATCCATCTAAACAGGCCCACCTCTCGGTTTCAGTAACTTTTACAAGCACTTGACTCCAGATCAGAACTAGTCCTTGTCTATTTTTCATCCCACTGGCTTCTTCTGCTTATTCCTTTCCAGTCCTCATCCTGACCACCTGTTCCTCTTTGACCATCAAAGGGCCCGGCATGCCCACGCCCACGGTCATCTTTATTCTTCAAGTCACCCACTCCCATGTTCACTCACGTGTTCACATTTTTCCAACTTATCATTTACTTCTTCCTCAACTCAGTAGGAGTCCAGGAACCCTACCTGTTTAGGGTTTGTACCTCTATTTTCAAATCTTAACATCTTAAAGTGTTTTTTTTAAGGTAGCACAAGGATAAAAAAAGGACAACAGTATCTTGTCAAAGCAAATAGGGTTAATAAGGTTTGCGTAAAATACGCAAGAGAAAGAGAACACACACACACACCTCCCATGCGTGGTGCCAGGGATGAGTAAGCATGTTCTTTAATCTTGTCATACCCACTGAGCCACACCGGCCAGGACATCTATTACTTCTATAATAAATTATGACAGCTTTTAAGCTCTCCAAACAAAAATATTTGTTAGTGGACAAATAAAGTTAGCATGGTAGAGAAGGAAAAACCAAAGACTGAATTTAAAAATGAAATAGTTCTGCCATTCACCAGCTACACAACTAAGTCAATCCCAACCGCCTTGGGTCTGGGTTTCCTCATCTGGCCTAGGGACCCGAGGCCTGGTTTGCCTGCGGAGGGCAGATCCAATGCGGCACAGGAAAGTGAACTAAACCCAAGCCTGCGCATGGCAGCGATGCCTGCTTTCAGTACCACATTAACAAAGCGTTTTGCAGGAGACGAGATGGGCGGTGTTAAACTCTGAGGGTGATGATTCAAAACTGATGATTTAGCATTAACTGTCCGGTAATAAGAGATCTGATTAAGATAGAGGCATGTAAGTGAAGTGAAACCAGGTATATGATTACCAATTTTCCACTAATGTTGGTGACTAGTGGACAGTCCATCTTGTTTCTGCTGAAAGGCTACATAGATTTTTAAGAAACCAAAGTGATAAAACTGTTTTCTAGAATTAACTGTTAAGATGAAGGACAAACATGTTGTGTCCTTATTCCAAGCGAAAATAGGCTTGAGAAGAAACTTTAATGACTCTAAGGGGGTTAGTAACCTTCAAATAAACGGGCAAGTGGTAAGTAAGCACTGAGGTGGCTCAGAAGGTATATCAAGTCATCAGGCCAACAAAATCCAAGATGCTTCAACGTCTAGTTCTCACCTGGCACTCTGAGGCCTCGGGTGTTTTGTCTGACCCACAAAGGCTCACTTTACAGATGGTTTACACAAACTTAGCATTTCAGTAACTGCGTGTGAGAGAAACGAAAATGAACTGATAGGCGATGGCTAAAAAATTCAAGAATCTTTGGTTTATATCATCAAGACCTTCAGTAAATATTCAACAATTCAATCAAACTAATTCAAATGTTTCCCTGAGTGACAGTTATCTAGAAAAAGCAAAGTACACAGAATCCACTCCCTGAGATAGAACATGAGTATACTTCAATGTTTGGGTTTTGTTGTTCTTAATGTTACTTATCAAAGTAGTCCTTTTTTCAAATAGTAGCCTTTTAGATCAGAAATATATTCCATTCTCTCCCACTTCTTGCCAGATGAAGAAAAGGAAATAAAGAGAAACAGACTAACCATAAATAGAGAGGAAAAGAAAGAAATGAAAAGGAGGAACCTTACAGGAGCTAATACTTGAAGCAACATAAGTGGCTTAACTTCAATTAAAATTTAATTTGGTACACTTGCAACAATTGGACGATGCCAGGCTGCTGGCTCAGTTCCAGCTGCTCAGCATAAAAGGAGCACAGCACAGCCACAGCACACTGAAGCCGGTCCTTAAAGATGGCCTGTCTGTCACTATTTGACTCACTAAATGAAGAAAAAAAAATACTAAGTACACAGAACTTCCACTTCCCTTTTGACGGTCTTGATTTTTAAGGCATAACATTAATTTACACTAATAAAGAGAATATTGGACACTATAAAGCAAATAAGCAAAAAAAAAAAGTAACACCACAAATCCTTTATTGTTTCAATTTACTCCTATTAATTATTCTTCACTAGATCTGCTATATTCTAATAGTAAGGTCACTAATTGAATCAGTGAATTATGCATTCACCAAAGCATGCGCCAGACCCTGGTTACTAAGCATTTATGTGTACCAGCTTGACCGGTGAAAGGATTTTATTTATTTTGATTCAATGTGGTATACTGCTCATCTTTGTCTACTTTAATGTCAATTTGTGGAGTGATTGTTTTAAAACAAATTAGCACCCATGCAGCTTTCAAATACAGCTTCTGTAATTCTTAACAGATTTCATTAACACAGTTTGTAAGTACAGTTTATACTGATAACAGGTTTAAAAATATTCACTAATATTTATCTTTATAAAATTACCTTGAAAAAGAACATAAAGACATGTGGCAGCAAAGTTCTCCCTCGGTCTGACTCTGTGTCTGTCTCTCCCTATGTATTCCTCGTCCACACAGACACACACGTGTGGCGTACACCTGTGGTTCAGAACGCACCCTCAGGACACATACCTCGAACTGTCAGGACTGTTCCAACAGGGCTGCATGTAGCTCAAGTCAGATTTACAAGGGGGAAGAACAGAGTGTGTACTGCACTTGGCTGACTGGCCAGCAGCAGGAGATGGATGATCTCTCTAAAAGGCTGGCCTGGTCCACTCCGTTGAGTTTCCCTGTATGTCTCAGTCACACTGCTATTTCTGAAGATCTACCTGGAAACCACCAATCTCTCAGCTTGTTGGAGGCTGTTTTCAAAGGGTGGAACCACAGAGACACGATAATGGAAGCAAACTATTCAAAAAATTGGCTTGGACATCAGATTTTGTTCTGAGTTCATAACTGCCTTTTAAGATATGCAGAACTATCAGTTTTATCGTTTCATTGTAACACCTTAAACTTTTACAGAACTATTAAAGGTTGGAACTATCAATCTTCTAAAACTTGATGCCATTATTTTGGCAACTTACATGTGGGTCTGACTCGCACAATGCTACAATTAGTATGTTGACATTTGAATCAGAAAAAAATCAGTTGTGATAGTGCAAAGGAGGAGATAGTTACAGTGTTTCAAGTGGGAATGAGAAAATGGAAACATACCTTTAAAAATGGTCTCCAATTTACTTTTTTTCTCTGATAATACCATGGGGCGGGGCGGGGGGTGGATTTCAGTCACTGGTAATATAGCAGACATCACTGCTTTTACAATAAAAAGTTCATTTCCTAAAGTTATCATTTCTACTCCCATTTCTCAAAACCAGAAGTTTACCCCAGCAAGTATGTGACAAAAATCTGACCACGTTTGGCTACATCCACATCAGTGTTTCGGTTCCTCTCTCGTTCCCTCTCTCTCTCCCTGCCCTCGTACTTTCTTCCTTCTCTTCCTTGCCTGCCTCTCGGGCTTGGCTCTGCTCGGCAGATGCTCACTCTGATCTAGGGACTCCTGGGCATAATGAAGACAGTGGAAATCTTCAAACAGAGATCTCGATCACTGCCAGGAACCTGTCAGCCAGAAAGGCCCTGTAACACCAGTGTGATAAAAAGAAAAGTTCTATTCAAGTAACAGGTCTGAAATGGTTTGATAAGAGCAGTAAAAAGTGCCCTGAACAGTGTTTAGCACATAATAGACACTGAAGAATGAAGAAATGTTAGCTCATTTTGCTCCTCCTTTTTCCTGGATCTAAAAATGAGCTAACCGACTTCCCAGATGAGGCGGCTGGCCCGAGGCCCCGGGCTCTCTCCAGACAGAACGGGGTCTTTCCCGCTCATGCGTTCTACAACGCCCGCTCCCCTCTGATGACATGTGACACCATCTTTCCATGTGCGCCCCAAATTTTAAAGCTTTCACTTACATTTATCGGAAGCATTTGTTCAAATGGTGATCATTGGTAGAAAACCCAAATTCTTTTGAAGCCTAGGCAGTTTTTTAAATCTGAAAGTTCTATAATGCAGTTGTGGCAGGAACCGAAAATTAGCGTTAGAAATGACTCCCACTACAGCATTAAGGCTGCGCTGGCAGGCGAGCAACGAGCAACGGGAGGCTGTTCCAAGTTTCCCGGGGGCGCATGAATACCACCAGCACAGTCATTAACACCAACTGCGTTTCAAAGAGAACGGAATGGCTTGTTTTTTACGGATGAAATGTCATGTAACAATAATTTTTTCAGAGCATAGACCAAGCTTCTAAATAGCTCTCAGAAGAGTTCTATTGCTCACCACTGGCCTCTTCTGGCATTAGTACTTTTCACTGAGCAATTAAGCAATTACCTAGAAAAGCAGGAAAATAAATGCTGTAGGCATTTTCTCCCCCACAGCCTTCTGAAAACAGTCCTATTTAAAGTTTTAAAGTTAAGAATATATTATGAAAGGTACTCTTCACTACAGGATTTTGATTCCTCTGTGACGACTTGACTTTACACTGGCTTTCTGAGCCAGCGTTCACTTCCTCCGGGACGGTTTCTTTGACATCTAACTAAAGACTGAAAGTGAGTAAACACACTGGAAAAGACGGGAAAGACAAAGACCAAACCTAAACACAATGCTATCTGTGAAAAGGAAGTTGATGACTGGGGTGGGTGGGACTCACCATCACGTACTGCTCGTGTACTTTCAACTGTCCTTAAGAACCATTTTTAAATACACTGTAGACCTAAGATTTCTACAGCAAACTGAAAAAAATACAGGCCCCCATATTAGGGTTCTCTGTTGATTTTGCACAAAGCCCAAGGAAATAAACATGCATTTTCTTTGAGTGGGAGGATTTTCTAACAGGAGGCCTTGAATCTTTCTTTGGACAATAGTTCCCAAGTGTCACTTTTGACATGTACGGTGCATTACTCTAAAACATACACAAATGCTCAAATATCAATCAACTTACAGGAATAATGTAAGGTTTGCAAAAGTGAAACTAATGACTTTGAATAACCCTTACGTGTTCACTTCCTTTTCTGAACCAGATTATCATCGTTTCTGGCGCCATCACTGGTATGTTCCACCATCAAGCACTGCACTGAGCTGTTCAAAGAATTTTTGGAAGCATGGCCGTCAACTCACTTGCTCCAACCCAAAAATGGAATAGGAGAAATCATGTATTTTAAGACACAGCAAGGGTGTGTGCCTGGCGGCATGGTCTATTTTTAGGAGTTATGTTGGGAAACTTTCTTTGTGAATGCATGGAGGGAAAAAACGGTAATCAAAGGGCAACTACATGAATTATTTCATTCTTATAATAGCTACGTCTGATGTGAACTAGGTATGTCTTCGAAAGAGCCTGTAGTTTTAACTCTCGCTGTCCCCATGGCTTCTCTCTCCGTGCATATGCATAACTAATGGGCTTCCTGGAAGACTTCAGGGCTTCTTTTTAATAAATAAATTCCAAGTCTGCAAAATTTCAAGTAAGTGCGCTAGCAGTAAGTAAGAAATAAGCTGTAAGGAATGGTAACCTAGAACTGGGAATAAGAGTACAGCTCTCACGTCTTGCTCATTCTGTGGTGCCCAGAGGACAGCATACGTAAGTTCTGCCATCCATCGAGTCGGTATTTTTTTTCTTCAATATTGTCCACAACTGATACACTTAAAAAATAAGCAGCAAGCTATGTTGTGGCATTTCTGTCAAGAGGAATATATTTCTACTGCTGAATCCTAGATTTTCTGTGGGTATAACTGTTTTTAACCCTTGATTTAAATCTTTTCTTTTTTCAAGTATGCATGTTCTTCACCTCGGGGGGAACAGACGTTCCTGGGGAAAAAGAGCCGACTACTTATCAGGGCTCTCCCTCAACCTTCTCCACTGTGGGCCACAGCAAAAAAAAAAAAAAAAAAAGGCAGGGACAGCTCTTCAACTAGCAAGACCAATCACAGCTGTGGGTAACTGCTCTTACTGCTCAATTATATTTAACCAACCTGGTTATAAGGATCCAGGTTACACAGGCCACTTCTTTAGCAAACTTAGGACCAAAATGCCCGCTTCAAAAGCCTCTCAATAGGTCCATGTTTACACTGCAAAAATTCCACTGCATCCACACTGAAAGCCAGCTCCTGGTGCCGCTCTTGAAATTTAAGGTAAACATACAATAAGGTCCTAAAAAGACTGTGTGGCCACATGCAATTTACTGACATTGTGAGTTACCATAATACTTAACACAAGTTAAATCTGTCCATACTCAGTCGAACTTTACAATATATTTTCTTTGGAGAACAGATGCAAATACAGTGAAGGATTTAAGCTGACCCCAAACTGCGAGCAAGTCTTACCTTTTCAGGTCAACAGTTGTGACACTAAACACAACTCCTTTGAGCCAAAGAATCATGAAGAGCCTCTGGGAGAAGGGGCAGTTTCCTATGCTTTCGCCATCGCTGCCAGCCTGGGAAACAGAAGTAAACATGAAAAAACAAGGTCAGGGTGATGACACTCAAAATAAGAGACCTTTTTCTGAATTTTTCATCAAGGATACAAGAAGACAGGGAAAGTTGCACTGTGGAAGGCAGGGTGAAAATTCAGGTTTTATTCTTTTCCTTTTTCCTTTGCCTCATTCTCTTTTTAAAAATGTTCAGTATAGCCCTAGCTGAGTTGTCAGTTGTTTGAAGCATCGTCCTATACACCAAAAGGTTTCAGGTTCAACTCCTGATAAAGGAATATACCTAATGTTAAGTTCACTCCTCAGTCAAGGCATGTACAGAAAGCAACCAACTGATGTTTTCTCTCTGATATCGATGTTTTTCTCCCTTTCTCTCACTCTTTCTTCTTCCTCTCTCTCCAAAATCAATAAACATATCCTTGGGTGTGGATTAAAAATAATAATAATAAAAATGGCCAGTTTAGAACAGCAATGTCCAAGAGAAGTTTCTGCAAGGACAGATATTATCTCTGTTACCATTGCCCAACTATGGTAATCATTTGTGGCACATGGCTAAGAAGTATTTGAAATGTGGCTAGTTCAACTTAACTGAATTTTTAAAATTTTATTCACATGTAATAAATTCAAATTTAAACAGTCCCATGTGGCTAATGGCTATCATATAGGACAGCAGAAGTCTAATCAATCTTTAGGAGATGCAGAGATCATCACCCCAGGGCAAAGTCTGTCATGGGTTTTATAAAATGTAAGTCATGTCTTGTACTATGAGATAATACTCTTTTATTTTAAAGTTTTTATCTATTTATTTCTTGAGAGAGGGGAGAGGAGGGAGAAAGAGAGGGAAACATGATGTGCAAGAGAAACAGCAATTGGCTGCCTCTTGCACTGGCCCACAACCCAGGCATGTGCCCTGCCTGGGAATTGAACTGGCAACCTTTTGGTCTGCAGACAGGCACTCAATCCGCTGAGCCACACCAGCCAGGGCAAGATAACATTCTTTATAGGACAACATAAAAAGGGAAATTCGTAGATGTGTCTCTCTCTGAAGAGTTAAAATAATTGCCAGCCTCCCCGAATTGTTAAAAATATTCATTATAAAAATTACATATCCTGTTTTACACATTCCTTCAGGGAGAAAAGAAAACAACATAGCTTTACAATGAGCTATTTGTAATCCACTGAATGAATGCAGCAGTTGGCTTCCCGGAGGTCAACAATGAGGTAGAATTTTCCTAAAAACCGGAGTGGAATAAATCTTTAATTCAATCATGTATGTCCCAAGTTTAAAAGGGCGGGAGGAGGGGAAGGGAGATGGGGCTGGGAGCCAGCTACTGGAAGAGAACGTTCTGACACTTGCGAGGGACCCACCCAGCCCTCCAGCCCTCTTCAACATGGAGTCTGTGAAGCAAGCCAGAAATAACTTCCAGCAAGTCCTTCGAAGATGCTGGTGAAACTACTGTTTATTATCCTAAAGTCACTCTGAAAAACCTCAGGAGCCACTTGAGTAAAATGCTACACGCAGCTAAGGCATTAATTCCTAACTAACGGTGAAATGGGGGTGGGGAAAAAATAACAAGTCACCTGGTCACACCTGATATAGCCAGCAAACACACAGGCACATAAGGGTCCCAGAACCCCACCCTAACCAGACAGCATGGGACAGTTATAACTGAGATTGAAGGGAAAGTGGATCATTCTTTATCAGAAACAAAACACACACAGAATTACACCCAGAATGTATCTGATTGATTTCTAATAATACAAAATTTGCTTCCTAAAGAAGTTCTAGTTCTTAAATTTGCGGGGGTGTCCAACCCATGGCCCATGGGCTGCATGTGTCCCAACACAAAATTGTAAATCTACTTAAAGCCTTTTTTTTTGCACATCAGTTTTTCTTGGCGTTTGTGCATTTAATGTGTGGCGCAAGACAATTCTTCTTCCAATATGGCCCAGAGACGCTAAAAGGTTGGACAGACACCCCTGCCAGTTTAGAGTAAGAATAACCTAAAGAAACTGTTTAAAATAATATTTCTGGGACTTACATCCAGAGATTCTGATTCAGAAGAATTCCTGGGGGAGGCCCACAAATCCTCGTTTTGTGAGAGGCACCCTCACACAAAGGGGATCACAGAGCTGGCATCTGCTGGACACACTGGGAACCGCTGGTGCGGGGAGGTTAGGACGATACTCCTTCGGAGCACAAGCCAGTTCTCAGGACTAAGTCATTCTGCTATATAACAAACTGATACTCGAAGTTGCTCTTTTGAAGATGCTCACCATCCACACACACAGGGAAATGATAACATACAAGTGAGTGTATTACAGATCAGAAAAAGTTAACACATTACCCCTCTATATAGCTTAATGACTAGTGTTTTTACACAAGGTTGTGGCTTTAGACACCCAGATTTTATTATCATTGTTTTGCTTTTTCCCCTCCCAGTTTTAACATGCTTAGCAGCAGAAGCATAAATACAAGAAAAGGATACCAAATTGAGACTTAGACTAAAAAAGCAGTAAAGTTTAGTAGACAAAGAACAAGTCTGACTCAGTGCTCATCCTTTTCCATTTACTTAATCTGTAAAATTAACCTTTCCCAAACTGCCTGTCATGGCACCATCAAAATAATTACGTTGGTGAAGAAGATGTAATAAAGATGCCACATGCAGAAACTGGAAAACACATTATAAAAAGCAACTGGCCAGAGAGGAAGAACACCACCCGACAACGCCCTGCGAAGGCCTACAGAGCAGGCGGCAGAGCGGGCAGAGCAGGCCCGGGGATCTCGGCGCGTCCTCTCCTCGTGAGGACCGGGTCCTGGTACAGATGTGCCTGTGCTTCCACCTCCTTTGTCTAGAATTTTCTAGAAAATTTTACCAATTCTTTCAGGGGTATCAATCATAAGCCATTACATTCTCACTCTCCTTATAAACTACTTTCCTTTATGCATTCAAAAATAAAAGCATGCATACTCCAAGACAGAACTGAAAAATTGCCTCATTAACTACTCCCAAAACTCATGAAAATGCAAATAAATGTGGACATACGACTTTTCCCAATTTTTTAATAGCATTAGAAATTGAGAGCTACCAGACAAATGATGTTTTTGTCAAGTACGGTGAAACTGGAAAACTTTGGATTTCCAGAAGTCACAAGTCAAAAATGTCCTCCCTTAGCTCTGGCTGGTGCGGCTCAGTGGATTAAGTGCCAGCCTGAGAAGCAAAGGGTCACTGGTTCAATTCCCAGTCAGGGCACATGCCTGGGTTATGGGCCAGGTCCCTGGTGGGGGGCATATGAGAGGCAACCACACATTGATGTTTCTCTCCTTCTTTCTCCCTCCCTTCCTTTCTCTCTAAAAATAAATATATAAAATCTTAAAAAACAAAAAAACAAAAACAAAAAAACTAAAACACTACAAGTCAGTTTTCCTATCCTTGAACCGTTCAACAGTTTGTTACTTATTCATCTAGACTTTTTCTATGTACATACTATATTTTTTCTTTAAAAATACGATCACTATAAATACATTTTTATGATTTATGTATTTTAATCCCCATTTAATGTGACCAACCTGATGGAGGCTATAGTGCTCTCCAAGACGGTATCAAAAAAGACCAAACGAGGAAGCCAGGGCTTTCGACCCTGTTCCTAGTAACAGGAACACCCCCTCCTCGCTGCTAAGGTGGAGGTCAGAGGAGGTCTAGGAGACAGTAGTCAGGACTAACGCCATCAACCAGAGGTGGCTGAGACCACCTCAACCGGAGTGTCAGTGGAGGCCACACACGAAGCTGGAGCTCACACCCCCACCCAGCGGTAATGAGGAGCCTTCATACCTTGGGTGTCCGTGGAGGCCAGGTGGGGCATCTGGACTTGAATCTCCACCTCACTGTAACAAGGCCGTGTCACTATGCTTCTGCCCTCCCAGCCCCCTCTAGAGCAGCGTCAGAGAAGCTTTAACAGACGGTTTAAACAAGACCCAGACTCTTAAAATACAAAAATGTCCAGGTTTAAACTGAAAATCACTTGTGTTAAAACAAAAAAAAGGTAATCAACACAAGTCAACATCAAGAAGACAAAGATGTTAGCCCTGGCCGATGTAACTCAGTTGGTTGGAATGTCATCCTGTAAACCGAAAGGTCATAGGTTCAATTCCCAGCCAGGGTACACACCCAGGTTTTGGGTTTGATCCCTGGCGGGTGGGAGGCAGGGGGTGCCTATGGGAGGGCAACCGATTGACGTTTCTCTCTCATATTGGTATTTCTCTCTCTCTCTCTCTCTCTCTCTCTCTCTCTCTCTCTCTCTCTCTCTCCCTCCCTCCCTCTCTCTCTCTCTCTCTCTCTCTTCCTCCCCTCCTTCCTCTCTCCCTAAAAGCAATGAAAAAAAAAATATCCTCGAGTGAGGATCGGGGAAAAAAGATGACAAAGATGTTTGAATTATCAGACAAAGATTTTAAAGCAGCCGTGATTAAAAAAAATAAAAAACAACCTTCAACAAACAATTATGAACAGCCTGAAACAAATGAAAAAATGGAAAGCCTCAGCAAAAAAAAAAAACAGAAGATGTAAACAAGAACCAGATGGAGATTTTAGAACTGAAAAATACAATAAATGAAATTAAAAGTTTAGAGGACAGGCTCAGCGGCCAAGAGGAGGTGACAAGGAAACAATTATTGAACTAGAAGACTGAGCTACAGAAATTACCCAGTCTGAACGACACAGAAAAAGTACACCGGAAATGGAAAGCTTCCTGTATATTTCTATATTTTGATGTAATCCAGCTAACAATCATTTTTGAAGGCTTCCTTGGATGCTATTAACCTGACAGTTCCACATCTGCAAATTATTCTGCAGAAACACTTACACAGATGCGCAAAGGTAAGTGAGAGGGAGGAACACTGAAGCACGGTCAACATCAGACCCCTGGGGACCACCCAGCGCCTGTCAGTGAAGGACCCGAGACCACCTCCTGAGAGTGGAGGTCCAGACTAACCGCTGAGCCCTTGCTGG